GGTAAAATTTCTTCCTGACCTCAAATATAGCATCAGTCTGACCCTAAGCAGAGGGGCAAGACCCTTTAGGTAGGAATCCCCTGCTTTGGTCCCACCAGGAGCATGGGTACAGCCCAGTCAAAGTATCCCACCTTGGCTGTAGCCAATCCTCAATGCCTCTGAGGGAGGCTTAAAAACACCCTAAGACATGTAGCAGAAAGGGGGAGAGGGGGCAACCAGCAAAGCCCAGAAGCCTGGGGAATACCATAGTAGTCTTCCTCAATGACTTTCAGTGGGGATCCTTGTTCAGCTCCTGAGGGGATGATTCAATTCCCCATGTTCCCTTCCAGGCAGAGGTGCCACTAATTTCCAACTTTCTATGCCCTTTAGGGAGAGATGACTGACTTCTTGGAAGACTGGGGCTCTGGCTCCATATCCACCAACCAGACCCAGCCTGTACTCGCCTCTACCTCCAACAGGACCTTGGTGACTTTCCAGGGTTTGGAGCTGGTGCAGCAGCTGAAGGCACTGATCATCTTGCTGTATACAGCCGTGGTGGTGGTGGGCTTGCTGGGGAACTGCTTGCTGGTCCATGTCATTGTGCGGGTGAAGAAGATGCACAATGTTACCAACTTCCTCATTGGGAACCTGGCTCTGTCTGACGTGGCCATGTGCACCACCTGCATTCCACTCACCTTGGCCTATGTCTTTGAGCCCCGTGGCTGGATCTTTGGCAGCACCATGTGCTACTTTGTCTACTTCATGCAGCCTGTCACCGTCTATGTCTCTGTCTTCACTCTGGCCACCATCGCCATGGACCGGTACATTGTCATTGTCCACCCGCTAAGGCGCCGCATCTCGCTACAGCTCACTGCCTACGTGGTGCTCTTCATCTGGATACTCTCTGGCTGCTTGGCACTCCCCGCCATGGCTCACACCTACTATGTGGAGCTGAGCCAGCAGGGGATCACCTTGTGTGAGGAGTTCTGGGGGAAGCAGGAGAGCCAGCGGCAGACTTATGCCCTCTGCCTGCTGCTCATCACTTACCTCTGCCCCTTGCTGGCAATCCTGGTCTCCTATACCAAGATCTCCCTTAAGCTTAAGAACAGGGTCATGCCAGGTACTGTCACCCAGAGCCAGGCTGATTGGGACAGAGCCAGGCGCAGGAGGACCTTCTGCCTACTGGTCATGGTGGTGGTGGTCTTTGGGGTGTGTTGGCTGCCTTTGCATACTTTCAACCTCATCCGGGACATCAACATCAATGCCATCGATGCCTATTATTTCAGCCTGGTCCAGCTGCTGTGCCACTGGTTTGCCATGAGCTCTGCCTGCTACAACCCCTTCATCTATGCCTGGCTGCATGATAGCTTCAGGGAGGAGCTAAAGACGTTACTTGTCTGGCACAGGAAGGTAGCTCCTTATGGACAAAGTGTGACTGTCAGTGTTGTTATCTGACCAGCTGCCCTGAACCTTCTTACAGGGTCTTGGGGCTTCAGTGAGCTACCGAAGGGCATTTGATTTCTTAAGCTGCAAATGAAAACAGTGAGACATAAGAACCAAGTGCATCCAACCCTGGACAAAGCACACCCTGCCTGCCTCTACTCTGAAAGCTATGGGGACCACTCCCATTTAGAGGCCATGGGTCTCTGCATGGAGTGTACATGAATTGTGCACTCCATAGGCTGTTTCTCTGCAAGCACTGGTCTGGAATAGGGGAGTCTGGGACAGTGCATATGGGAGGCATGAGTCCATGTTCAGTTTAGCTCCTTAAAAACACATCATAAACATGCATAGAGATTTCCATTGAAAATTAGTTGGAATTATTTCACTTGAAAGGAGGCAAGGGACATCTCTGCTCCATGTTAGAAAAAAACATCCCCTGAAAGATGATTCAATGCACAAGAACACAACCTGCACAACTCTGGTACTTGCTGTGTTAATGCAATTTCTATTGCAGATGCTTGGCACATCTTGGAACTTAGCATATACTAATAGTAATGAGGCACGTTGATATAGATTTCCAAATGGGAAACAAATAATAAACAAGAGATGCTAGTGGTCCATATTTTCCCAATTTTGTGGAGGTAGATTCCTTCACAATATTCAGGATTATATTTTGTGTTCCTGGTTTCTCCTTTTAAAAAAATTGTACCATTGTGGCTATTGCAGCTCAGAAGCTTAGGAAAGCCTTGCCATGTGTCAGAAGGTAAAAAAGAAAAGGCCAAGGAAGAAAGGGAACACTGTACAGCTATTCACTTTTGTACCAAACTTTGTCTTTAATGGAATTCCCTTGCTATGGCAGGAGGGAGGGACAAGCCACCCTATATAAAACTTCTTACAGACTAGTTTCTGCAGATAGATGTACAGTATGATCCAGATACACATAGATGGGACACATACTTCATTCTATATATCAGATACCCGACCAGGAACAGTGGAGTAGGGACTGACAAATGGCATGTACAAGCTGAATAGTATGAATACAAGAACCATTACAATGAAGACATGGCAAAAAGCAGAGAGAAATGCTTACATCTGAGGTTAGCTCATTCTCCCAAGAAGTGTACAGACATAAATATAAAGCTTCTCACTAAAGCAGCTTTTCCTCTTGATCAGCTGCTGAAATTACATTGCGTCTTACAAACCACCCATGTCAACAGAGGTCTAGCTCCCCATTTGTCTAGATTTTTATCAGGTCGTTCTTCACCTTAGTGTCAGGTCATCTATGGTGTTGGCTATAATCACCTAGAAAAAAGACAGGATGAGAAAATTGTGAATGAATGAATGTGCAAGGGCTTGGAAGATGGGGAAAAAAGAAAAAAAAAAGGCAGTGGAAAGCATGAATCACATATTTATCAAGTTCTTTATTTTTCACAGTCATGAGATCCAGCACCACTTTTGGTTAGAGATAGGCAGAAACAGTTCTGCTTCCACACCATTCTTGAGTGTGTTATTCTTATAACAATTTATTTAAACAATTTGCAATGCATTTTTGGTGGAATTTAGTGTTTACAAAAGATGCTAAAGACTGATGTTTTTTATTTTTGAGAAAGATCCATTACTAGATAGGGAACTCTATTTAGGGCACCTGGGTTCTACTCACAGCTTTGGCAATTATGTGTTCTGCAACCTTGAACAAGTCGCTATCACTTCTAAGGGAATGGAAAACCAACAAAAAATTTGCAGAGAGTTAAAAATGGGATGCAGGCCTACCGCATCCTATCTGGTTTTCACAGCCACTATCTTTTCTTGCATATCACATGCCCCCAAATACAACACATACATTGTTTCTGGGAAGGTAATAAGAGAAGAAAAGAAAAGACAGTTCTAGACTTATGGTTGCCTAGAGCAGGGTCAAAGCCTAATCTTCAGGTTGCTCCCTCCATTTCCTGCTCAGGCAAAAACTACTGTTTTAACCCCTTCACAGCTGTTTTATCAGCAACTCTTGGCTGCTCAGCCAAAAACTGAAGCTCTAGCTGCTGCTGAAGACTAGACTTCATGGGTGGATCTAAGGTTTTTAGAAGAGCTAAAAATACTATTCAGGGCACTGAAATAGGATGCAAGAAACCAGGAGTAGCTAGCAGACAGCAAAATTGTTGAGGAAAAGATAGCTCGATTAGTGGAACATGAAGACCATTAAAAAAAGAGCGAGGGTCATTAACAAGTGTGCAGTGAAAAGCAATTAGAAGGAATCCAGTTGCTATGAAGTCAACTGATTCTGTCAGAGCTGCCTAAGTAGAAATGCCACCACTGCTGCTGGGCAGTTGGTTTTAAACTTTGGGTGCAGCAAGAATCAAAGTGGGGCATGATCGCACCACTGCAATGGCCAGATCTGCCCTGCTGGACTCAGCCCCTCTCTCCATGCAGTTGCTGGAAGGAGAAGAAAAAGAAGCAGCAGCCATCTTACAGCATCTCCATGCCTCTCTTCTGGGCAGAAAATGAGCTTCCTTGCTTAAGGCAAAACCACAGTTTTGGCAGGCCAATTTTTGGGGGAAAAGTGAGTGTGGTATGAAAGTAAAGCCAGTAGCTGTGTGCCTGTTCTTCTGACATCACAAGTGAAAGCTGAATGGTGGCAACTTAGTACTCAGTGAAACAGGGCTAAGTAACTATGATTTAGTTTTTGCTTATCTCAAACACTCAGACAATTACCATGTATCAGCTGCTGTATGGTAGTTTCTGTTCCCTTTAACTCACTTGTTCTTTCTTCCCCATTGAAAATGGCTTTAGTTTATAGTCACCTTCAAGACTGATGGATAAAGAGCCTGTTGTTAGTTCAACCTCCGTGTCCATTCCAATTCTTGACTTCGTGCTGAAACAGTCCGCAGAGGTTCAAGTGGGGGCCAATTGTAGTGGGTATTTTTGTGGGGGGAGGGAGGAGATTGTAACCCCCACCACTAGAATAACACCAGCAGTTTACATGGTACTGATTGTTCTTCGCTTGTATAAGTTCAGAATGCTACTCTAGTTAGATAGGTATTATTGGACTAGGCATGAAAGATTTCATAGCCAGTTTCTCATTTCCTGTGAACTTTTGCCTACACTCTTAATCATATCAAACAGCAACAAAATAGCATCTCCTCACTCACCTCTAACAAGTTTTATGTTTTATTTAGGTGTGAATTAGTGCTACAGCTATCTAAACATCTTTGTGGGATTGTAACTTGTTGTTTAAATTGTTCATTTGTTGCTAATTGTTAATTCAGTGAAGAACCTGAGCTGCTTTGGAAATCAGTAAGGCTGGATGTGTCGCAGTGTTACTAGTCATGGGCTTCATGATTTTCATGTTTCTTAAAATAAAAAATAACTCCAGTTTTGTGCATCTCTTTTGTCTTGGTAGTTTTGCTGGGGATGGGATAGTATGTGATGAGTCATCATTTGAAAAAAAATCATTACCTTTTAACTGTACTGTCTGTGAAGAGTGCGTGGGGAGTAGGGACTTACGTTGTATAAATGCTATAGTGGCACAGAAGACCAGAGAATGGGACCATTCATGAAAGATTCATTTCTCAAGGGTTAATAAACTAATACTTGAAAAAACAGGGAATCAAGGAAATTGCTGATCCTAATTTAAGAGCCATACATTTAAAACCAGTTTCTGTTTTGCTGCAGGTGTTTTGCTAACACTAACTGCTGCAGGTGTTGGTTATCACTTAAGAATGCACACTGGTAAATACTCAAATGAAGTTTTATTCAAATTATGTGAAGCCTTAGAGAAATCTTGAGCTTGCCCTTTCTAACATCAATCATACAAATGTATATAGGAATGCTGGGCTACTCTCCTGACCAGCTGAAGACTGCAAATGATCATTTGAGACTAGACCCCCCACAGGCAGAGGATATCTGTTGTGAACTGAATTATTCACAAAGTGTTGTGAATAGAAATACAATGCAAAATAAAATGTCTTTCCTCTGTGCACAGCATAATGGATGTAATGTTTGCTACATCATGAATTATCCCAAGGTACTGGAGGCAGGGGGACACAGGCAATCTGAGATTCTGGTGATTTTTCATTTAGATTAGATCATAGTATGATCAGTAGAAGGAAAGCCAGGATTTCAGAGAGAAAAGCTTGATGAATTATGTGCTATCTTTGAAAAAGGAGATGTTTCTTTCACGCTGGCAGCATTTTGATCAATTTAGGACTTAACTCCCTGACAAGCCTCAGGTTTTTAGCAGCCTGGCTAATGTGATGGGTATGCCACTTTTAGGGATGGTGCAGTGTGTGAGACCAACTGTCTTTCCCCTTTTGGCTCAGATCAAGCGTAGTTCCTATGCTGATCTGGCAGGGGAAACACCATGACCACAAAGGCGGTTTTCCTAGTTGCACCCAGGGACAACTGCTCTCCTGGCATGGGGGTAGTACCCCCAAAGGTAATCCCCCACTTAGCTGCTGGAGAGGGAAGATCTTGGCTTTATGCCCACTGTATGGAAAGGGGTGACTCCTCCCTAGCTTGTTCCTGCAGCCATATAGCTGAGAGCAAGCAAAACCTGGAGGCATCTGGCACCCAAGCCTCCAGGCTTGGGCCTGCACATAGGATGCCCGCCAAAGGATTGGAAACATCTGAAGCCCCAGCTGGGGGAAGAGGATGTTTGCTGGTAGTAGGGCCACTTATGGTTATGGACTGACTCATGGATTTGGAATAGATTTGGTTTGGAACATGGAAAATTAACCCCCCCCCCCCCAAAAAAAAAAAAAAAAAAAAAAAAAACCAAAAAAACACCAATCTGTCTTTCTCCTATATAATCTGGTTGCTCTGAGGAAAGCATTCTCCCATTCTTTGCCCTTTTAAGGGGTTGGTCTGGTGTTCCCATTCCCCATTATCAATCCGCCTGGAATTAACTGTAAGTATTGTGTAAACTGCCTTCAACTGATGTTTTAACATCTCATGTCCAGGTCCTAGTGAAAAATCAGGGAGAAGAAAGCAAACCATGTATCCATTATTTTAGAACTTTG